AAATCAAAAAAGCAGAACAAGCCGGGCGGTGGTGGCGCACGCCTTTAATCCCAGCACTCGGGAGGCAGAGCCAGGCGGATCTCTGTGAGTTCGAGGCCAGCCTGGGCTACCAAGTGAGTTCCAGGAAAGGCGCAAAGCTACACAGGGAAACCCTGTCTCGAAAAACCAAAAAAAAAAAAAAAGCAGAACAATATAATTTAAAGCAAAAGAACATCAGTATTTATACTAAGAAAAGAGGTAAATCCACTGAAAAGAGTAAAGACTAAAATTGTGGGTTAAGACACTGCTATCAAGCCTGAAAACCTGATTTCTAACCCTGAAATCCAAACAGTAGGAAGAGAGATTCCCCCAAGTTGTCCTTTGACCCCTAACACGCATGTCACACACACACACACACACACACACACACACACACACACACACACACACACACACACAAAGGAAGTAAATGTAGCAAGATTTTTTTTTTTTTTTTTTTTTTAAGATAAAGTCTGTATAGCCCTGGTTGTCCTGGAACTCCACTATGGAGACCAGGGTGGCCTTGAACTCACAAAGATCCTCCTGCCTCTGCCTTCAGAATGCTGGGATTAAAGATGTATATCACCATGCTCAGCATTTAAAAAAAAAAAAAAGTAATGAAACTAGGGCTAGAGAGATGGCTCAGCAGTTAAGAGCACTGACTGCTCTTCCAGAGGACCTGGATTAGATTCCCATGACCTACACAGTTGTAACTCCAGTCCCAGGGGAAATCCCACACCCACTCCTGGCTTCTGAGGGCACTGCATACACACACAAACACCCATATATATAAATGTTAAAAAAAAAAAAACTTTCAAAAGAATAAAATAAAAATATCTAAGACCAAATACTCCAACTCATGTCAGTTTTTTTTTTTTAATTTTATTATTTTAAATCATGCATGTGAGTGCAAATGCCCTCAGAGACCAAAGATCTGAGGCCTCCCTGGAGCTGGAATTACAAGCAGTTGTGAGCTTCATGACATGTGTATTACCCCATTTACAAAAGACTGAACAAATGCACTGAGTAAAAATGAAAACTGAGCTGGGCATGGTGGCACAGGTCTGCAATCCTGGCATAGGGGAGATGGACAGAGGATCAAGAGCAGCCTGGACTACTGTACCTCAAAAATAAATAATAAAAACTGGGACATTAGATGGGTAATTTATCAAAGAGATAGTAAATTATATTGACAGCACTGAGCACTAGACAAAGTAAAAGCAAATTACAGCCAAAGGTTCTATCTAGGAAAAAGCCCTCTAGTTTACACAGGAAAAACCTGTGTAGCAGGTGTAGCTGAGACAGGAAATTACCATGAATTTGAGAATAGCCTGGGATACAGAGGAAACCTTATCTTTAAAGAAAAAAAAAAGTATATTAATATTTGATGAGATTATGTAAAGTAAATTTCTTGCAGAAATACATTATAAAGCAAAGATACTTCTCCAAAAACTCAAAAACAGCTGTAGATAAGATACACATAATGTAGCATGCACTTCTGGTGATTCTCATTTTGGACTAGAAAATATTTAATAAATTTTGGGGCTAGAAAGATAGTCCAACAATTATGAGGACCCACAATGGGTGGCTTACAACTGTCTATAACAGCAGCAAGGTGGAGGTAGAGACAGGAGGTTTGTTTCAGGCTTGTGGCCACCAGCATAGCTTCAGATTCAGTCAAAGATCCTATCTTCAAGGGAACAAAGCAGAGTGGTAAAGTGGAACATTGCACTTCCTCCTCTGGCCTCCGTGTGTGCACATGGATACACACACAAAAACTTTGAGTAAGTTCAAGCCTATGTTTTGTGGGACCCTGTCTCAAATAAATACACAAACTGAAATTAAAAGCTAGGCAGGCACATGTGGTTAAGACATGCATTTGGGAAGTAGAAATAGGAGGATCACATGAGATAGTTCCAAGTAAGAGTCCAAGGTCATCCTCTAGTACATAGTGAGAGGACACCTAGGACTACAGTATAGGAAGACCTTGTCTAAATAAATAATTAGGATGGGGAGAGAATGCAGTAGGTAAAGTACTTGCATTACAAGTTTTTAGGACCTGAGTTTGGTTCCCAGAAGCTATGTAAAAATGCTGGGTGTGGTGATACAGGTTTGTAATCTCAGCACTGGGGAGGCAGAGACATGAGGACCCCTGGGGTTCACTAGATAGATAAATTAGTGTCTAGCCTAATTGGCAAGCTCCAGAACAATGAAGAGATCCTATCTCAAAACAGGTGGGCAGCTTTACTGAGGATGACATCAGAGGATGTCCTGTAACTTGCACACTCGCATGCACACACACACAAAGAAACTGAATTTTCAGATAATTATTATAACAGCAAACTAGAGCACTGCAAACAGTACACTGGAGTACTAGAAGCTGTTCTTTATAATAATGGAATGCATTAAACATAGGTAAGTTTTGTTGTTGTTTTTGGTTTTTTTTGAGCAAGGTCTTACCATATAGTTCTGGATAGCCTCGAATTCTCTACATAAACCATATTGGCCTCAAACTTGTTGTGGTCTGCCTGTCTCTACCTCCTCTGAAGTACTGGGTTACAAACACGGAACAACAATGAGCTACATTAAATACTTTGCCTGGCACTGCATTAATGCTTCTAAAATCTATATTTATTGGAATAAATGATCAGTTTGAAGCTAGATACTAGGAAAAAATTTAACAAAATAGCCTGATTTAAAAAAAAAAACAAAAAACAAAACGACAGGCTATCCTGGAACTCTCTATGTAGATCAGGCTACCTCTGCTTCACAAGAACTGGGATTCAAAGTGTTCGCCACCATGTTCAGCCTCCACGAAGAATTTTTCAAAAACCTTTTCACTGTATGGGAATTTCAATGTGCTCTATCTATTCTCAAACCTTCAGAAAAACATAGAACCAATGTAGGCCAAAATTACCAAGATCTGCTATCTTATGGACCTGACCAGTCAGCCAAAGAACCAAAACAATACTAATTATCATGAAAGAAAAAAAAGCAAAATACGATTGATTCAAAACTTAAGTGGTATTTCCTCATTAAAATTCAACAACTGTGCTAAATAAATAGCTGAGGGTAGTGTCTCACTTCAGTAATCCCAATACTCTCAGAGGCTGAAGCAGGAAGAATACTTCCGCTTTGAGGCCAGCACTGGCTACACAGTGAGTTCTAGGCTAGCCTGTGATACATAATGAGATAATGTCTCAATAAAATACAAAAGCAAACAAAATTATTTTTTCTGATAAATTTCACCATAAACAAGTATTTTTTTAAAAAAAGACCACTGAATATGATGGTACATGCCTCCAATCCCAGCACTTGGAAGATAAGGCAGGAGATCACTTGGAACTAGAGATTATCTAAAAAAGAAATGATAGATTATCTAAAAAAGAAATGATAGAAAAAAATGAAAGAAAGGAAGAAAAGAGAGGAAGAAAACCTCCTAGAACATTTTAAAGTAGGCTTCTGGTAAAAAATAAAACTGTTCATGTTTACCTCTAGGAATTCCAATTACAAATCAAGTTACAAACTTTCTTCCCAAAAATTCACTAAAACAAGTTGTTTTTATTTTTTTCAGTCTTCATAATCTAAGTACAATTAATTCAATGCCATTCAATTCTCCATAAACCCCGCTTTTTCTGTTTCTTTTATATATAAAATTTATCACAATTCAGTTTGCCTAATAATACAGTTATTTGGGCTATGTATCTCTTTCACCTACTTCCCAGCTTCCTTCAGGAACCCGAGACTTTTTGCATCAACACAACACTACACAACTAAGTCTCCAGCAGTATCTTCAAAATAAGCCTGGCTCACATAATGCTAATGGAACTGAAAATAAACACGGCCAACACTTAACTATTACAATTATTTATTACATTGAAAAAGGCATCTAACATATAAAGGCTGAAAAGGAACTAATAAAATTGGTATTGTACCACGTAAAGACTCGGCTTATAAAAAAAAATTCTTTCAATGCAACTCTGGGAAAACAACCTACTGAACTTCAATATAATATGAATAACAGTAAGTAACTCACTACCGGAAAGAATAAATAGAGATGCCCTTATCCATCTTCTTTTCTAAGTTCTCTTACGTATGTAATAGGAAAACTGAACTTAATGAACCACACTATTCCAAACCAGGTCACAGGAGAGCGTTAAGTCCCCAGTCATCATCCTGTTTCTATTTCCTGACTGGTTTGACCTGCAAGCATTATGGTGCCCGGCTTTCCCAACCTAAGATCGCCTTTAAAAAAAAAAAATCTGAGAAAAGCTTTTTCTTAAAACAAAAAAAAAATGACTTCTTGAACATTCTAAGGGATTTATGAAAAAAAGCACTCTAACAAAGAAAGAAAGAAAGAAAGAAAGAAAGAAAGAAAGAAAGAAAGAAAGAAAGAAAGAAAGAAAGAAAGAAAGAAAAATGTCTAGAAACACTCTGCTCAGGTAAAACCCAGTTTTCAGAAAAGTCCGTTATAGTATACTTGAAATTAAGTGTGGAATATAAATTTGCAAAATTGAACAATTTCTCGAACGTGTTACTACTCTCCTAGCAAAGTAGATCTAAGAAAATACACGAATTTTAAAAGGGTCCTACACTCCAAGAGTACGCATCTTTCAAATAAAGAATTGTACAAACCACCTAAAACCAGCTATGTGCGCTTACGCTTGCTTCACGGGGACGTTTCCTCAGCACCACGCTGGCACAGCAGCGACAACCAGAAACCTCTTGGGGCTTTGGCCCCAACCCTCTGCCTCTAAACTCCGGGCGTCCACCGGCCTCCCGGAGTCGAGTTCCCTACGACTTCGCTTCCAGCCAAGCCACTTCCACGTCGCCGCGAACCACACGCCTCTTCCTCCTCCTCCTCCTCAAATTAAATCAGGCTTCACTCACCACACGCACGCACCAGGGGGACCAGGGGAAAGGCGAGCTGGCGGGAGCGCGGGGAGGGCACGCTCCACAGTCCGGGCTGGCCCGGCACCCACCTGCAGGCCGCGAGACCTGGGACACCGGCGCGGGCGCCCCGTCCTCGCCGAAGACGAGTTTGAAGTCGAGCTCGTCGTGGGCGCCACCGTTTGCAGTAGTCATCGGCGTGGCCCCGGGTGCTGCGGCTCCTCCTCAGGCGGCCGCGGCGGCTCTTCAGCGCCGCTTCATGCTGGGCCGCGCCGGCCAGGAGGTCGCGGCTGCACTGCAAACTTTCCGGGCGGGGCCCGCGAAGCAAAGCGTTCCGTTCCGACCTAGAAAGCTGGCCGAGCGCCCCGCCGCACCAGGAGCCGCCACCGCCGCCAGTCGAGGGTGCCTAACAGCCACGGTCGCCTGAACCAAGGTTCCCCGCCCCCCCCTCCCACAGTCGCCGCCACTGCCGCCACCGCCGCCGTCGCCGCCGCCGCCGGCGCGCTCCCGCGCCCTGCAGCGCGCCCAGCCCCGCCCCGCCCCCCGCCGGGCTCCCATCCGACGGGGCGGCCCATAGGCCTCGGGCTCCGCTGACAGTCATGGGCCCCGCCTCCTCGCCAGCCTATCGCGTGAATCCTCTGCGCGGAGGAAGTCACGTGAACGAGGAGCGTAGAGCCCTGCTCCCTCTCGGGAGTTGTAGTTAAAGTCTTTTCCTTCCGCGATTTCTAAGCCAAGACGAGTGCAGAGCCAATAGCGCCGTCTAGTTAGATTGGTAACCCCCCATAGGTCAGTTGGAGACTATCCCTTTCCCCATTGGGCAGAACTCACGTCGAGGAGGGGGTAGCAGAGGGCTAGGGTTATGGGTATCCTGGTATTTGCCCCCACCGAGTATTTCCCCCTTATGGCTGGGTTTAGAGAGGAGGCATCAGACCACCTCAAGGTTACTTATACACCACTCATTCTCGCATCCCTCCATACCAACTTCAATGGCGGAATCTCGAGAGGGTCAGGGGATTGGTTCGAGCTTCTCGGTATGTTAGGGCGGAGCTGAAAGAAACCTTGAGACAGGTCTGGAGTTGATTCAGATCCACCCCTGTGGGGAGCCCTCTTCCACTCACCCCACCACCCCGCCTCAGTGGCTGTGCCTTTGTCCCCACTAGCCGGCGCAGATAGCTGCTCTCTTGAGGATACAGTGCGTTCCTAGGCTTCATCTAAATCAGAGGGGCCAGGTCTGGTCCCTGATGGAACAGGCACCTTTTGACTTCTGCGTCCCCGTACACAACCATGAAACTGAGAAGTACTGTGACACCGAGCTAATGACCACATATATAGGAAGTGACACTGTCAAAAGAACCCGTTTTCAATCTTGGCTCCACCTCAAAGAGCCTGCCTTCCCAGTGAGATATGGCACAGCCCAAGTCATCAAACCTTGGAGTCTGGGGACTCGGTCTTGTTTACTTAGGCATGATTGAGAGGGAGTTGAGAGAAGCCAGAGGACCCCCCCCCACACACACACACACACACAACAGCACATCTCATACTACTCACAAAAGCCCCTGGGAGGATAAGGCAAAGACAAGCTCCTTGCAAAGATCTTGGTATCTCAGTGATTTCTAGGCTACTAGTGAGGCCCCACTAAGCCTAGGTTCAGAAGAGCAAGGAATGTTCTGAGCATGTGAGCCATTCATCTTAGACTGGTTCATTCCTGCTCAGGGGTTTACGCCAGTACTTATGCAGGACCTGGAGATAGAGAGATAGTCTGCCTTCAGGGTTAGGAGAGAGGAATAGCAAATATATAATTACTGTGCAAAGAGATTAGAGCTATGATAGGAGCTCTGAGGACATTCAACACCCCCACACACACCCAACTACAGGGCCTCAACAGGTTAGCAGGAACTGGAGATCCAGACAAAAGATGAGCAAAGTTTGTTCCAGAGAGGGGACAGTGGGCAGAAGTCAAAGGTGATTCTGGATGGGTGGGCAGAGTACAACAGATCACTGTGATGCTTGGACTTTATCCTGAGGACAGTGGGGAACCACAAAGGTTTAAATCAGGAAACTAACATAGTCAATTCCATATGGAACACTTGACTGAGGACATTAAAGCAGCCGAACAGAAAGCAGTCAGGCTTAGTGGCACATGCCTGTAATCCTAGCACTTGCAAGGTGAAGGCTCAGGAGCTCAAGGTCATCCTGTGTTACCTAGTGAGTTTGAGGACAGTTTGAGCACATGAGATCCTGTCTCAAAACAAACAAATAAAAAAATGCAGACGGAGTTAACATATTAGGTAGGTGAAAAATACTTCACAATAAGTTATCTTGGCTTCAGGGAGTCCAACCTAGAAAGCTTGAATATGAAACTAGGAGACCAAATGCTACATCAGCTCTGCAAATTTTTGTCTGAGACAGGTTTACCAACCAGTTCTCATGATCCCATTATTCTATAAGGTCCCCAAAATTTGGTCAGCTTACTTCCCCATTCCCATAAAACTTAAAGCAACTTCAGCCCCATCTGGAGACACACACTCATAATTTAGATTGAGAAAGTGGACCCAGTCTACCCTCCCTCCAGTTATAACCACCTGAACCAGGGGCTCAGCCCATTAGGCTGAGGAGCTAGAGAGAGATAAAACAGGGGCTAAGAGCACTTGCTCTTCTTCCAGAGGACCTGGATTCTGTTCCCAGGACTGACATAGTGGCTCACGGCCATCTGTAACTTCCAGGGGATCTGATGTCCTCTTCTGGGTCGACAGGCACAAGGCACACTTGTAGTACACATATATAAAAGTAGGCAAAACACTCATGTACATAAAGTCAAAATGAATAAATCTTTAAAAAAAATCAAAATCTGGCTAGGGAGGCAAAATGTAGACTCTGGCCTGTCAATTCCAACACTTCATAAGGGACCACAGAAAAGCTACAGATGGTTTGAAAAATCCACCCATTTATTAAATGCTCAGCAACAGATCTTTTTTCCCCAGACATCGAGTACCTGAGAATATCTAGAAAGGGGTCATGTTGTAGGGAAGGCTTCTGGTTTGGGGTAAACTAAGACTCTAACATAGAGTGATAACGGCTCAACAGACATAAGAACCAATGGTAGGGAGTGAGTCACTGTCTTTGTAAGAAAGGCAGAGTGGACTGTGGGGAGCGGGGCCAGGGGATCGAAATGGCTAGGATCCTGTAGGCCGTGAAGGCTCCCCTCCTCAGGTATGCATACTCTTTTCACTGCTTCCCAGCTACGGCCAAAATCCACCCCCCAAGCTCCTGATCATCATCTACTCCATCTGCAGATCTCTCAGGGGCCTGAGGTACAGTATAGTAGACAGAATCTCAGAGTAGACAGAGACTCTGGGGGTCTCTGCAGATCTCTCAGGGGCCTGAGGTACAGTAGAGTAGACAGAATCTCAGAGTAGACAGAGACTGGGGGGGGGGGGTCTCTGCAGATCCTTTCCCCTTCTGTGTAAATCATGGCCCAGGCCTGAGAATCAAAAGCAACCTTTTTCTTTCATCTGTTGCCACAGGCCTGAGGTGGGACTCTACTGCTGAAGCTTCTCCTGTGCCTCAGAGCCATGGGATGGTACAGCTTAGTTTAGCCCCGTCCCTTGTTTCATACTAGGGAAAACCAGGAACCTTCAAGTTCAGACATTCTTCCTCTCTGTGCCATATAAAGCCCCCCAACCCCCCATCACCGCTCTAAACCCTCAGTTTGCTGGACCTGCTCTCTACCTCTATGCCAGTGCAGGCCATAGAGCCCGAGCAGCTTTCAGTTTGGGTGGATAGGTTAAGACCAGACAACCACAACTTCAAAACATCAGTTACTAGAGTCAGCACACAGTAATGAGAACACAGGCCATCACTTTGTCTTCTCCTGCTGGACTAAGGAGGATTCCCCACAAGCTGGAAGCCAGCATGGTCTACATAGCAAGTTTCAGGCCAGCCAGGGCTACATAACAAAACTCTATTGAAAAATAAGAACAAAAAACATTTGTCACTGAGGATACAGGTCAGTGTACTGGCTGGTTTTGTGTGTTAACCAGTCATCAGAGGAAGGAGCCTCAGTTGAGGAAATGCCTTGATGAGATGCAGCTGTAAGACATTTTCTCATTTAATGATCAATGGGGGAGGACTCAGCCTGTGGTGGGTGGTACCATCCCTGGGCTTCTGGTCCTTGGTTCTATAAGAAAGCAGACTAAGCAAGCCATGGGAAGCAAGCCAGTAAGCAGCACCCCTCCATGGCCTCTGCATCAGCTCCTGCCTCCAGGTTCCTGCCCTGTTTGAGTTCCTGTCCTGACTTCCTTCAGTGATGAACAGCAATGCTGAAGTGTAAGCCTAATGAACCCTTTCCTCCCCAACTCGTTCTTTGGTCATGGTGTTTCGTCACAGCAATAGAAACCCTAACTAAGACAGTCAGTTATGAAACTGCTTCCTGGCATTCCCCAACCTCTAAATTCAATCCCCAGCACAGCATAAAGCTGGAAGTAAAAATAAATTCTAAAAAGAAAAACCTGTACAAGGGGCTAACAAGATGGCACTCACCACACAAGCCTGATGACCTGAGTTTGATCCCTGGAAACCACATAAAGACAATTGATTCCACAAAGTCATCCTCAATATCCAGATGCATCCTCACACACAGAGTAATAAACAATAAACAAACAAAAAATAACAAATACATATAAATAAATAAATAAAGGCTAGCTTGGACTGCACAGGATACTATTACAAAACAAAACAAAAAGACCCCCATAATGTGATACACTAAGGAGAGTGCTTCAATCAAGGACATGAATGGTTGGAACTACTACGAGTCTAGGAAGAGGTTGGGAACTCTAAAGTGAATTATTCTAAGGAGAGACTAGAAGACAATCAGGCTTCAGGCTTGACTGGGCCTCTCAGTCAGTCCCAGATCTTGGTTGGGCAGGTCACAGAGTCCAAAGTAGACATCATTAGAATATGCTAATGCTAATGAAGAAACCGTTTGAGGTTGAGGACCAACACATTCATCCAGGATCTTTGCCAGCTATCCCCCATCATTGGACACATACTAACTAGCCCCTCCTCAGCTGGCTTTAAGCCTTTCCCCAGGGTCCTCAGAGCTCCTCTCACTCCCTCCTCCTCAAAGCAACCCGAATGGTAGCAGCACTCTACCCTTGTCTCTGCTTCCTGTAGCAGAGAAAATTAATCTGACCTTGCCAGGGAAGGGGTTTCCCCAGGAAAACCACACTAGTAGGAGAAGAGGCTTGACATCACTGCCCAGGACCACTTAGACAGCATGTGATGCTTTGTCCCCAGAATCCTCTTCCAGCATGCCTGGAGGAAGTGGTCCTCTGGGGCCTTGGTCTTCCTACTTCCAGTCTTAAGTATGAGGAAAAGTAAAAGGGGAATTAAAGAAAGGTTTAGTAGAAACAGACAAATCCAAATACCAACTTTC